TGTGAATGGGGGTAGGTATGCTATAACAAATATTAATACGAAGAAGGAGGCAAAGAAAATGTACAACAAGAAAAAGAGAACATTATAGTAGGGTAATAAAGAAGAGATATAAGAAAAGAAAGAAGAGCAAGAACAAGAAGAGGAAGGAAAAGAAGAGCAAGAACAAGAAAAAGAAGAAAGAAAAGAAGAAAAATTGCAAGAAGAAGAGGAAGGGAAACAACATGGACAAAAACAAAAAGAGAACAATATAGTAGGTGAATGTAAGAGATATTAGAAAAGAAAGAAGAGAAAGAAGAGCAAGAAAAAGAAGAAGAAGAAGAAGAAAAAGAAAAAGAAGGAGAAGGAGAAGGAAAAGAAGTGCAAGAAGAAGAAGAAGGAAGAGAAGTGCAAGAAGAAGAAGGAAAAGAAGTGCAAGAAGAAGAAGTGCAAGAAGAAGAAGAAAGAAAAGAAATGCAAGAAGAAGAAGGAAAAGAAGTGCAAGAAGGAGGAAAAGAAGTGCAAGAAGAAGAAGAAAAGAAGAAGAAGGAAAAGAAGTGCAAGAAGAAGAAGAAGAAAAAGAAAAAGAAGGAGAAGGAAAAGAAGTGCAAGAAGAAGAAGAAGGAAAAGAAGTGCAAGAAGAAGAACAAGAACAACGAAAAGAAGAAGAAGAAGAAGAAGAAGAAGAAGAAGAAGAATCTGATAGTACTGTTGTTGATACTTTTAAAATTTGAGACATGTAAAAATTTCCAAGGCTGGAATGATATTATCTGAAAACGGAGACAAGCAGAGATCTTTGAACAAAATAGGGAGAATTTTAAACAATGGCATGAAAAAAAAAAAAAAAAAATAAAGAAAAAGAAATTACGATTATTGATATTATTGATCCGGGAAATATTAAAAGACTAATAAGCAAGAAAAATTGACGAAACAAGATTTGCGAATGTAAAGAGAGAGAAAAGAAGCAAAATTTTAAGAACATTTGCCAAACGAATGAGATGACTAAGCTATCACATTTAAGCAAACATCACAAGAAAAAGCAAGAAATACATGACTTTCGAAAGAGTAATTGTCAATGATGAATCTATAAGTGTATATATATATATATATATATATATATATATATATATATATATATATATATATATATATATATATTGTTTAAAATATGATTCCTTCGCTACATAAGAGTTTTCATGTTTCAAAAACGAGAGCGAAAACCATCCAAATAATTATTAAAATTAAGTTGAATTGTTGTGTTTAGTCCCGTTTCATCTTCAAGCGAAATTTTAGTCTTTTCTCTCTTCTTAAAAATAAAAACAAAAATACTAAGGAACCCCGGATTATGCGCCCAACGTGTTCTTTTCTATTTTCTGCATACCTGCGCACTTATATATATATATATATATATATATATATATAGTTCGAAAGTTCGTTTTATCACCATGAAACCCGAGTTCGAATCTCACCACGGTTGATTTGTCAGGAAATAGAATTCCTGATGTTATCGGCCTGGAGGGGGGCGATCCCAGCGCGCGGCACATTTGGAAAGTGCCTGAAAATCATACCACGGTTTGACCCAAGCCTTGTGAGTGAAATTCGGTAGACGGAATCATTGGGGGCATCGATACCTGTGCTAGCGCAAAGTCACAAGTCATCTTGTAATTGTTCTGGCCCTTGTTCATATTGTTGATCAACGGTAGATAACACACTCTCTTCCACAAAATATAACTAAGATCTGCTCAGCATAGTTGCAGTATAGGTGGGGTCTGTGGGTGTTAAACAAACACAAATGTGTCTTAGGAAGCGTCTGTAATACTAATGCTCAAATACGAATGGACAGCTATCATATATATATATATATATATATATATATATATATATATATATATATATATATATTATGTATTTAGGCAGCAACCCTCTGTTATACATATTTCGTTAAAGACGACTGACAAGCTTTTTTACTTAACTGTTCTAGTATACGTACACAAAGTATGTAAAAACTGTCCAAATGTTCTGCATGTCCGAGCGTTTTCTACTATACTTTTAGCCATTATCAAGAAGGATTTTATTTTTACATTTAACAGAATGTATAGGTTGTGTGATATATATATATATATATATATATATATATATATATATATATATATATAATCTACTCAATTTTTTTTTTTCTGATCCTTTCTCTGTCAATTAACCCCTGCGTCTTATGGCCTTGCTTGAAATAATTAAAAAAATGTATATCATAGAAATTTAAAAAAAATATATATAATATATATATATATATATATATATATATATATATATATATGTGTGTGTGTGTGTGTGTGCGTACGTGTGTGTATGTGTGCGCGTGCGTGTGTGTGTGTGTGCGTGAGAGTATGTAATATTTCACAAAGATTTTCATTTCCAACAAACGAGAATATGAAATATTTTAAATATATTTCCAAGTACTTTCCTGTTGACAAATATATTTTTTAAAGTCAAATATTTTTTTTTTGCATAATTGTTGTAACCTTGAAAGGGTTACTGAATGATGAATAACCAAAACGGAGGTTGGAAATGAAATGGTAATCTTTATAACATCAATAAAATAAAATCCTCGCCAGCGACGTGAAGTAGGTAAACCACTGCTAGTAAAGGGCTACTTAGACAGCAGCTTAAGATATTTACCTGCCTGCTCACGCGGTAGGTTGCGGCACAAGGCAAAATTTAATGTGGGGAAATCCGAGTCCGTGGGCTAGGGCAAAAATTGCCCTTAGACGCCGCATACGCAGGACCGTGTATCTGTCTACCTCCCCGGACGAGACTCTGCCCTTCGGCAGAGCCTCATCCGGTTTCCTCTCTGTCCGAAGGCAGAGAATTCGACACGGCATGAGCTTCCTACACTGAAAGCTCACGTTGCAAACGTAGACAGCATATTGCCCCAACTAACAATAGTGTCCAACGTATTTACGAGGATTAGGATATAACCTTTTGTGTTCATAGGTACGTTATATAACAATTATACATTTTAATATTTTGACTTGTTCATTGCAGTTTTTTTAATATATGTGTACTAGTGAGCCAGTCAAAATGTGCTGACTCATTTTATAGTTCACCAATAGAAGGGTCAACCAATCAGAAAGCTCAAAATCTTCAATGCGACGTGTATAAAGGCAGCCATTTTGTTTTTTCTCCCAAATTATCGTCACTGCCAACCTGATATCGAAGACTTAAAGAATTACTTAACAGCCGCTACTTTCTCTGAATCTTCACTGCAAAACTGATATTGAACACATTACTGACTTCACTGGATTCCTTATTCAGAGACTACGGCAAACATGGTCAACACCTTGTTTCACAAATTTAATTCGTTACTGAAAGCCGTTCGTTATCCGAAATGTTTGTAAACCGAAACTAATTTTCCAATAGGAATCAATGTAAAGAAAAAAGTCACAGTACAATAGAATTGGAAAAGAAAAGCACAGCACAACACACGAATGTATACAAAATGGCGGTCGACTCATAAGTTATTACATTCGTGTTAACTGAGTTCGGCATTGTTTTTCGATAACACAGGCATTTACATCTCGAATGTTCTGTTTGAAAACCAATTTGTTCGACATGTGAGACGTTCGACAATCGAGGTCCCTCTGTATATTATTTTGATATGATAGACATGTTAATTATATTTGCATACTCTACTGTATTTTGCTATTACCTACTTAAATTTTATTGTTATTATATTGTACAGTATTTTGTCTACTGATATTCTTCCTATGTAAAAAAAAAACTGCATTTTTGAAAAATACGAAGAAAATACTACTGGACTGTTATGTAATATCAGTCCTCCTATATGGTAGTGAATGCTAAACGATTTCATCAGAGATGAAGTAGAGACTTATGGTAAAAGAAATGTGGTTCTACAGAAGGATGCTGAGAATAACATAGACCGAGCATGTTAGCAACGACGGAGTTTTAGAGTAAATGGAAACAAAAACGACACCAAAGTAACAATTGAAAATTTCTAGGGCACATAATGAGGAAAAAGGCTTGAAAAATCTGATACTCACAGGGCAGATTGAAGGTAAGAGGGACAGAAGAAAACAACGCATAACGTTTTGGTGTCCAAACTTCGCTTGAGTATGAAATGGAACTAATGTCTTTAATTTAATTACAAAATTAAATTCGAAGCTTTTAGCTTCCATTCTTGAAACATGGTTAAAACTGTGTAGCGAAAAAAACATATTTTAAATCAGTTAATTTATAATATATATATGTTTATTAAAGACATTTTTATGTTTAACGTTCTTTTTTTATAGATACAAGTATTTAAGTAAATGTTCTGTTTATAATTAACAGTATTAAATAACATTTACTGGCCTGAATGTCCGAGAAATTTTCATAGAAAATATTCGTCCTTTGACAGGATTCGAACCTGCATCCTATACGGAACCGTCATTTACGCTGACGTGCCTTAACCGGATGCAGGTTCGAATCTTGTCAAAGGACGAATGTTTTCTATGAAAATTTCTCGGACATTCAGGCCGGTAAATGTTATTTAATACTGTTTATTATAAACAGAACATTTACTTAAATACTTGTATCTATAAAAAAAGAACGTTAAATATAAAAAATGTCTTTAATAAATAAATTGTCTTTGTCCATTTCTTAATATATATATATATATATATATATATATATATATATATATATATATATATATATATATATATATATATATATATATATATATATATGCAAAATGGCTGTAAGCTGAATTTCGAATATCGGGAGATACTTGAGAGATTGATACTTTCAAAAACCAGTTAGTGATAAACGTATTTTCATCCAAATCCAGGAGGGTCTGTCAGCAAGTGGGTGATTGAGAATATGTATTTGCTTATATCAGCAACGGGATGCTGGTAAATATATAAATTTCCGTGCTTCTGTCGTCAGAGATATCTGCAAAAAAAAACAAAATATCTGTACTTCTCTTTCAAAGCCTCATCGTTGGGTTGATGCGGTCACGAAAAATACATTTGTTTATTGATAGCGCAGGTGGCGACTACTGGATTGGTTGTGATTTGCGGTCGCTTCTTGTCTCCTTGCTCATGAAAACTTTAGCTGCTTTCGTTCAATATATTTCTTTTCAAATCCTCTTAATAGGTTGATTCTTTATTTATGACCCCGGCAGGTGTGTCGGCTTGTGAAAGAGTTTAATATTTAGAGACCACTAATCAGGTATGTTTGCGAAAAAGAAATTGTCATCATACCGTATTTCATAGCATATGAGAAGTACTTCTCTTTCCAAATACAAGATGGCTACATAAAAACTGACATAGATCTTAGACTCGAAGTAGAGGCTTCTAGTTGCTTAATTTTATCCCCTTGTCTCACTACTATAGACTATTAATTTAAACCTGACAGGCATTTCTACCAAGCCTGCTTCCATAATAACGTCATTTTTTCTTTTATACATTATCATCATGTTCCATTTAAAGACCTAAATATGACTTCAAAGCGCTGCTTATTGTTATTTTACCCAAGGCCCAAGAGCCGCTCAAGGTAAAGAGCTACTAAGTGAAATTATTGTAAGGAAAAAGGTAACTAGAAATAAAGAAGTGCATATTATAAGGACGTGTAAGATAGATGTGGGTTGACCGTGGAATACAAGAAGAGATTAAGATATTTATTCGTCAGGGAAGCACCCTCTCGGGAGTTTCTCCTACAAACTTACAGTTCTGGAGAAGAAGCTGCATGACCACTCATGCACTCAAGCACCACGGCTTGCTCCTTGTCAAAGTACAAAGAGAATGGGGTGGGTGTTGCCACCGTTAACACAGCTGTGAATGTCTGAGCTGGCGGTTACTTTATAACTCGAAAGAATATCTGAAATCGTAATACCAATAGAATTGTGAGTGGCCAGCAACTGTGGGGTAAGGGTTACAGCGTGGGAAATAATTTATCACACACAAGTGTGTTTGGAGCTGTGACAGGACTGTTCAGTCATAGACACGTATAGAAAGATCGATGAGAACAGTATGAATAAACTGATATAAAAAAGGATATGAATAATATGAAATTAATATAAATTAGGATAAGAATGATGTAAAATTAATACAAAAAAATTATATGAATAATAGAACCCATATTTTATTCATTTCTATGTTTGGTCGGCTCAGGAGATATGTGCTGATTCCTTAAGTTTACGAATTTTCTAATGATCTTCTTTGTCTATGATCTCAACTTGATCCCACAGAGGGCGGTGATTTCCCTTTCCTCTTTTTCATATATGCATCTGCGGAAAGAAATATAAAGAGGACAGAGGCCTCCCTATTAAGGTAAGGCTTCAAGAACACCAGGAAGCTGTATCACGAGGGGAAGTGGAAAAAATCGGGTGGGGCTGAAACAAAAAAAAAAAAAAAGAATACTTATAAAAATATAGCGACAGGGATAAAAATAATATGAAAAAAGATAGGAATGATGTGTCTATATTTCTGGGATGAGGCATTATGCACACTATTTACATTATTCGGACTATTGTCCTCATCATTATCGTCATATTTATCGCAATGTTTCAGCCGTTGTACGCTCCGGCCTTCTTCAGGTGGTTGGAATGTCGAACTGAACCATTTATTTCGCTCACTGAGGTAGACTGTTCTAGTTCCATGTGCCATGTCTAACGGGTGTCAGTTACCCGTTATCTCATGCTAATTCCCCTCTACAAGTTCTCCACCGCTTTAAATAGGTATTGAACTCACACTCTTTAGGTCCTGTCACTAGATCTAACTATAACCACTATCCTTGGGGACATCTGTATATGAATTTCTATGTATTATAAACCTAAAGTCTTCAGCAACCATTTTATTAGAGCTCATATTGCAATTTTTTTGTTGTTATCGCTTTTTCCTGGCACTCCTTATTACTGCTTCCCATATTGTATTCATTTCTATGCTTGGTCGGCTCAGGAGATTTCTTTTGGCCTAGCATATGTGATGATTCCTTAAATTTATGAATTTTCCAGGGATGTTCGTTGTCTATAGACGCAACCTGAACCCACAGAAGGCGGTGATTTCTCTTTTCTTTCCAGCTGCGGAAAGAAATATAAAAGGGAGACAGACTGCTCCCTTATGGTAAGGCTTCAAGAATACCAGAAAGCTGTAACACGAGGGGAAGTGGAAAAATCAGGCGTGGGTGTCCAAAATATATATGAATACTTATGAAAATCATAGCGAAAAAAATAAGAATAATATGAAAATAATATGAGAAAAGAAAGGAATGATATGAAATTAAAATAAAAACGGATGGGTATAATAGGAAAATAATATAAAAAGATAGGAATAATGTTAAATATGAAAGCAGATAAAAATAATATGAAAATAATATAAAAAATATGAGAATAATATGAAATTAATATAAAAATAGATAAGAAAAATATGAAAAAATATAAAAATTTAGGAATAACGTGAAAATAATATGAAAAATAGGAAAATATGAAATTAATATAAAACGGATATGAAAATAATATAAAAAGATAGGAATAATGTCAAATAAATATGAAAGCCAATAAGAATAATACGAAAATAATACAAAAAGATAAGAATAATATGAAATTAATATAAAAAGTATGAAAATAATATACAACTGATGAAAATAATATGAAATGAATATAAAAACGAATATAATATTGATTTGAAAAGAATAATATGATAAAATATAAAAAGTTAGGAATAATATCAAAATAATATGAAAAGAGAGGAATAATATGAAATTTAATATAGAAAAGGATAACAATAATATCAAAATTATATAAAAAGTTAGTAATATAATGAAATTAATATAAAACGCGTAAGAATAATATGAAAATAATATAAAAAATTAAGAATAATATATGAAATTAATATGAAAACGCATAACAATAATATGGAAATAATATTAAAAAGTTAACAATATGAAATTAATATGAAAACGGATAAGAATAATATAAAAAAAGATAGCTGACTTGCTCAATGTATAAAGTTTGAAAACGTATTTACTATTCACAAATTTCATGTTTTTAATTATTCAGTGAAGAATTCTTCTGATTTTGATTTTGTTTTTAATTCCCTCTGTTGCAGAATTTTGGTAAAAAAAAGAAATTAGGAATTTGAATGGTTTCATCGTTAGTTTTTTGGCGCAATTATTTAGCGTCCATTTTTTTCAGTTGCTAGAACCCACCCGCCATTTTTTACAATGATGTTCACCCTATACAAGGTTCATGAACTGCTCAAGGTAGAGATTTAAAGAATTTGAGGAACAATCTTCTAGGGAAGATAACGGTTAACTCTAGACTTGAAGAAGTTAAGACTAGTGATAGTGGAAGCATCCTCTTGGGCGTTGGTTACACAAAGCAGCCGTTCGTGGAAAGACGGTTTTCGAGAGGAATTTAGAACTCACCAATGTATAAAGGGATCATTGGCTACAATGTGCGTGATATGACGGGTCTTAGACGTGAAGTTCGCAACTTGTGGAACTAAGGAATGTAGTTGGTCTGAACACTTTCCATAGACCAGCAAGAGGCTTCCGAATTTGAGGAAACGGGTTGAAGGATAGAAAATAATTCATCACCAACAAGGACGCGGAGACGCTTTTGGACACTTTCGAAACTAGAAAATGAAGAATGTGGAAGGAGAGCTTTTAATTCCTTTCAAATAAAATTTCATATTTTATAAATAAGAATATAGATATTCTGTATTGAATTTTTATTTGAATTTCTTCAACATATTTTATCATCATAAATTCTTATATTTGATGGCTATCAAGTAAGTTTTCGCCTTCTGATAGCATATAAAATATGCTTTCTTCTTATTGTTAATAAAAGACATTTTGCTTTATTATTATTGTTTATAAATACGTTCTACTTTTTATTGTTTATAAAAGTTTTTTCTACTTCTGTTTTATATTGGTTATAAAATATTTTCTCTTCTTTGTTTATAAAATGGTTTCTCTTTAATATTGTTCTTAAAAAGTTATTTTGCCTTCTGACTAGTTATAAAATGTGTTTTCTTTTTCTTATTGATTATAAAAAGGCTTTCCTCTTTTTATTGGTTATAAATAGTTTTCTTTTTCTGATTGGTTATAAGATAAGGTTTGATTTTCTTATTGGTTATAAAACATTTTCTCTTTCTTATTGGTTATAAAATACGGACTCTTTCTTTTGATTCCTCACAAAAGATGGCGGACAAAATTCAAATGATTTTTTTTTCTTAAATGGGATCTTATTTTTGCTCAGAATTTATTTTCGATCTGAAGTAAGTGTGATACTGTCTACATTAAGCTCACATATAAAGACCTGTAAAAATTTGATGTTAACACTTAACTATATTATTCTTTTATTCACAGTCAATGGCAATTCATTTTTTTACAATTTTTAATACAGAAAATATAGCATGATTGCCGAAAACTTACTTAGATAAAAGAATTGAAATGTTACGTGTTAAATCATTGATTTTTTTCAAGCACCTGTTATTGGAGATTGTTTTCTAAATTAAGTGGAGTAAGCGTAACGTCGGTGGATTGCGTGAAACAAAATCTGAAACATTTCCTACGTATATTGATTTCAGATACAGTTGGCATGAAACTAAATTCGTTAACATTATTTTGTTCTGTTTCCCACTCCCACCAAAGAGAGAGGCAATCAAGAATGAATTAATGTGTTTTATGTCTGTGCTTAATAAACCATATCCAAGTTAACACTCATGAATAAATAGCAAATACAAACATACACACATATATATTAGACAGAAAACATAGTGAATATATTGAATAAACTACCAACTAAGTAGAATTATTAGCAATTCTACGTTTATTTCAGTATGCGCTTTGCCAGAACTATATACTGTTCTTGTGTCCAGGGTCATCCTTCACCTAGACCGGTTGCCAAGAAAGGCTGTAATTTAGTTTTGCTTCCAGTAGCCAAAAAGGAAGTTTGCTTTATTTAGCCGGGCCTCCTCAGCAGTTTGTAAGTCCATGGTGCCGTTTCCCTTTGGAAATACATCTTTCCCGGATAGAGAAAGAAAGCCTAGCTCGCAAGTCTCATTGTTTCCCATTCGTGGAATATGTCCTTTCTGGGAC